CTTTTCTTTTCTTTTCATTTCATTTCTTTTATTCATAATTCAGTTTTACTATTTAGTCATTGGCCATAAAATATAAAACATAAAATTTATCAGAAAATTTAGGGTAAAAAAGTTGTGTTATTTGTATAGCTAAAGTTGTGATGCTAAACATGCTTATCTGGGAGCAAGCACAATTGAACATAATGGGACATAGTATGTGATTTCACAAAGTTAATGTATACTGAATATCATTTATGGAATATTGTTCTGGAGAAGATGAAGTAATAAAACAATATAGATCAATGACCAATATATTTAGTTGGCATTTTATTTGAAAAGAATAAAGAATTAAGATTGGCCATACCATTACTTTCTTTTGAAAGAGTATTTTTCTTGCAAGGGAAGTGAAACAATAATATTTATAGTTTACATTTCTTGCTCTTGATCCATAATTTTGCTTCTGTGCTCCCCTCAACACTGAAAGGAGCAAAACATCTCCACTTTGTATGCTGCTAAAATTATTCATTTATGCACATATAGCAATGGACACATATGTATGTTTTTTAGCAACACAATTTGTAATAGTAGTAAACTGATGATTCGGGTTCGTTCCTGAACTACAATGCTCAGAGATAACATCTGAATTATTAGAACTATAATGAGAATATTATGCATTAAACAGTTGGGAGAAACTTTTTCCATCCTTGTTTTCTTCTTCCTTTCCCACTCCTTTTGTGTCAGGAATCTAAGCCTGCAGTTGTGAGCCTGAAGTCTGGGAATATTTTAATATTTTCATAACACCAAGAAAAATGTTAGTGTTTGCAAATGGAAAATGAAATCTTACAGTACTGACTCCAATTTAAATTATTAATAAAATCTAAACTTTAGGAAGTGATTTGGATCTAAAGTGACACTGGGAAAACTTATGTACAATCTAGTTTTACAGAGCACTACAAAATGACATGAGAAAAGTGACCATAAACTTAGAGGTTTTTGTCTGTGTATGTCGTTATGAGAAATTAGGGACAAGACCTTATTATGGCATACTAGAATTTATCAATACATATATATCAACCATAGCAAACTATTTAATTTCATTCTGTTTAATTTTAGCTAATATAAATTTTAAATTAAATCAAATGTAGTATTTGTTCCAGATGTCTAACTTCTTTGTTCTGCCATATCCATATCCATATACTGTATATGCACAACACCCTGACATGTCATTCAAAGGCCAATGATAGCCCTTAATGCTATTCCAAGCTATGCTCCCACACTTTAATACTATCTGATGATATATTATAATATTTTGTTGTGATGCATCTTCTGCAAGGGCTTGAGGAAGCCTGCATAGAACATAGCTATTGATATAGCTATTCTGTTCTCACTTGTTTGGATCCAGGATTTTCTCTTGGAACAGAGGACTGATAAAACCCCAAACAAAGAAAACATTAAAAAAAATGCAGTGGTAATTATTGTCTTATCAGGATGTTTAAAAGAATATCAGTGTTTGGCAGAGTTCATTTCTGAGGTAAAAAGAAAAACCCAGTAACTGTATTTTAAGAACACTTGCCTGAAATCCAAGGAGCTTTTCATTAGGCTTAATGTGCCTCTGGAATTCACACTCTACTGGTTGTATCACTTTGATTCCATCTTCATAAAACACATAGAACATATTACCAATTCCCAGACCTTAGGAACAAAAAACATGTTAAAAGTACATTAAACCACCTAATGGATAGTGATTAAACAGAAGCCTTGATTATTTTAGCTAGAGGTCAATTTGTTAATGCATGAGAAGTTAATAAGTTTGATTATATAGGTTTCTTTTTAATGTAGATTCAAGAGTTCATGTAATACCCTCAACGAGAAACAAATGACTTCATGAATATCACTCTGGAAATATATGTCACACTTGGGAATTAATTTTTAAATAAAATTGAAATAATTTCCTTATACCTCTCATTATCCTATTTTTGAGGTTAAAAGAGATTAAACAAAGTTCTGTGATGACTTAGAAAAAATAATGGAAGAATTGTGCCTTTTTAAAATAGCATGTTGTACACAAACATATATTACGTATTGCAGCCAATGGTGGCTTTATTTTAGGAGAACATAATTCTACCAGTATAATTATTAAAGGGCATCTGTATAATTACATGGGTCAGATCTGAAAGCTAGAGTTTAGGTATCACATTCTTTAAGATAATATATCTCAAAGGATACCAACATGACTAGTACTGAGCAAGCCATATACTTTTAGGAGTGGATTTCTGACCTGGTAAGTTTTTGTACATTTTTTCTAAACTTAAAAATCTGTACAAAAATGTCTTAGACCAGATCCAACAACAGAAAAGAATTGAATGTAATTTGTCAGAAGGCTATAGAAAACACCAAGAGAAAAACTTCTGCCCTCCAAAAAAGATTGGGGTAGCTGGATGTAACTCAAGCTTTTTAAACATTTAAGAAAGATGGAATGCAACTCCTGCTCACAGTAAATTTTAGGAGGTTCCACTTTTTTCTGATGAAGGAAAGACATTAGATACCCTTTCTTCTGACTAGCACCTGTTGGTACTAGTCAGATACAGGGAAAATGACACACCAAATCTACTTCCTGTAAAACCCTTTTTAACCTCTTTTGGTGAAAGGATATAATGGAAACCTCTCTGCTTCATAAAGAGATTTACTTTAAGTCCCATATAATTCTTCAGAATTTCGCTGATATAGAAGCCAGAAATAGCTATAGGTAATTTAGCAGGATACAACACTCCTGTTGCATTTCTATTGCCATTTAGAAATCCCTTGATTTTTAAACAAAAGAAGGTGAAGCTAAGGATAGAGACATATTTGTATTCAATTCTACAGCCATTCATAAAATCTAGCAGAATGAACCAGCAGAAACATAAACACTCAAGCAGTTTTTAAGGAACAAAGCAATTTTATCATCATTTGGAATTGGGTTCTTGGCATTCTCTGGGCTTGGATATTTTCCTGTAGATGTTTCATTACCAGGCTAAATAATGTTATTAGTTCGTGATCAGAGGTTATTTTATTTTCTCTCAAATATTTATAAACCATTTTCTTATTCAAAGATGATAACCAGATACACTTTCAGAAACAGAAGTATAACCCCTACCATCACAATAATAAATAGCTGAAGCAGAATTTAAATACAACAATGCAATATAAAAAGAGACTTAAAGAAAAATATATACAAAAGTAATAAGGCTTACAGTTTATTGTGAATCCTATAAATAAGGGTGCAAATACACAAGTCTCATTCAGAAATCCATACATCCCTATTACTTTTCAATCCACTACTGAAATATATTTGGTATATATATTCTATATTCTATACATAGCCCTTTTTGTCCAATCTGCATATCCAATAATTAAAAGGATGCGAGTCGTACCTCAGACATTTCTGGCTATTTGACCTATTGTCTCTGTTCCAGACTCAAGGAGTAGTAAAGCAGGTTTCTGAGAGTAACCTAACTGGATTCAAGTGAACAAGAATACAAACTTCTATCAAGCCTTGCCATAAGTATTGATATGAGTATAAAGTTAAACCCTCAACAATTTAACCAAGAAAGCACAAATCACAAAAGAAGATCAGTGGCAGATAAAAAGTGGTGCACTAAATGCCTAAACATCCAAAAGCCCAACATACCATTTTGTCTAATCATATCACTACCAAGGCCCCCAACATAAAACATAGCTAAAATCTCACCAAAAAACTTGAACTAGAGGGAATACTCTATCAATTCACCACTATAGTGTCTCCAGAAAATCAAAGATAACAGAAGAGGATGAAATTATGGTTTTTATTTGATGTCCAGCACTCTTCATGTCCATAGATACAGAATAAGCAATAGAATCCATTCCAACATTACCATACAACACTTCCAACCTAACAGAATATACTATGATTGAAATAACAAGACTCATGATACTCATAGGCTGACCTTTGCCTCACCATCTACTTTCAGCTTGATGGACAAATATACCTATAAACAGAGGAACATCACTCTCAGGATTCATAGCTGAGACCATGATGCAATGTTTAGAAGCAATAACATTTTCACGCATGCAACCAAAAATATGATTCTCCTATGTAGATGACACCTTCATGATAATAAAAAGGAACAATTGGAAAAGACACATGAGACAATCAACACATCATTAAAAGAATAAAATTTACAAGAGAAGAAGAAAACAACACACGACCTTCCTAGATATTCTCATCAGCAGATGAAATTATGGCAAATTAGAGACCCATGTTTATTGAAAAACAACTCACATTAACTAAGTAGCTTCACTATCAAAGTCAAAAACCAACAATCCATAAAAGAGGCTGTGTAAGAATAGCATTCAGACAAGCACAAATACACTGCAGTAACCCAGAACACCAAAAAGAGAATACAGATCATCTACAGAACATTTTCCAATGTAATGGATACCCGCACAACTTTATCAAAAAGTGCCTAACTACACAACCCACTGAAACTCAACTGTTACAACCTACAAAAAGGATAACACCCCTGTGCATCAAAAACTGGAGTGTCTATTTGAGTGGGTGGCTATAACAAATTTAATGAAATAAATAAATGAAAATATCTGCAAGACAACCAACAGACTACTACAACCACTCAACAGCACTGTAACACACACAAACCAACAAACTGCCTCCAAGCAAACCAAACTCTATCTTAAGCAATCCAAAAGGACCAATAACAAAAAGAAATAAAAACAGGACTCATCTACAGCATACAGTGTAAAAACTGTACATGCCATTATTTTTGACAGATAGGCTTAAGACTAGCAGACTGCATCCACACCAACTGGCAGTCAGAACACATAATGAAAACTCCTTAATCTTGCAACAGAAGGACATGCTCAACCAGTTTCAACTGGGAAACTGTTAACATTTTAGATCAAGCCAAATCCCAAAATGCTAGGGAATTTCTAGAAGCTTGACATTCAGAAAAATCAGCCATCAACAGACACATAGAGATAAACCCCATATGCATAACTATTTAAAAACACAGTCAAAAGCCTAGAAAGGAAACAAATAGCCTAAAATACATCCCAGCTCCAGATCCCCCATCAGCCAACACCCAAATAAGCAGGAAACAGCACCATATAAGCAATCAGGGAGGAAACCATACTCTAATCAAGGAACCATGAAGGAAGAAGCCACATTCTCAGTAAGACAGGCAGGGCAAGCTACTATATATGTAAACATCAACCAAAACCCACTCCCTCTTGAACTGATGGCATTACCTAAACTGGTAATGAAATGTCTGCAAGAAAACAACAAAGTTAGAGAGCACTAAGAACCCAACAGTTCAATTCTGAACTACATATATTCTCTTCTATTGGCCTATAAAAGTATAAAATCTTCACCAATAACAGACATGCATAAAGGGGGAATGTGTCCTCAATCTTTCTCCCTGCTTCTGTGATTCATTTTAACATATCCCAGTCTTATATTAAATGCAGAAATCTGCTTTAAAATAGTAAAATACTATAGTTAAGGATTAGCATGGGTTGGAGGAATCTAGGCAGCTTCTATAGCTTTATTCAAAGAAATCAGCAAGTGAATATTTTCATATCACAGAACAATGCCAAATAATGTCTGCAGATCAAACTGCTGTTAAATGCAAAGGAGCAGGAGACAATAAAAAGAAGATGACCTTGTGAATGTGTCTTACTATTAGACTCAATAAAGCATGACATTTCAAAATCACAAATCTCTTAAAACATAATAAAATATTTTATTTGTGTTACATAGGTTCTCTGTTTTATCTCTACCACTTTCATTGTTATTTAAACTTTAGTTCTATTCATCAGCTTTTGGGAATCTGTTGTTCCAAAATTTTAACTAGTGCTTTGCTATATCCTACACACTTAAGGTTGAATGCTGAGGCTTAAAACATTTCATTGGGACAATCCAAGTAGATTTTGCATGTGAGGAACATCTCTTTTAAATTTTGATAGATAACAATTCTCATCTGACTCTCACATATGAGTAGAATGAATGTTTAATTTAAAATCTTAAATAATTAAAATGCTAGCACACTTTTAAAAAATTAATAAATACAGAAATTGTTATCTGTAGGTTTAAATTTAAAGTGATATATTGCAATATAGATATAAGAAATATTCTACTATTTTCTATTTTTAAAATAACAATTCTATTTAAGTTTTAATTCGATTCTTATATGTCATTTATCAGAAGCAATTGATTTAGTCATGAAGATCTCCAACTTCTTTGTTATCTATTTGCAAAGTTTGCAGGGTTTAATGATCCACAGGTTTGTAACTTCAGGGTATCAGACAACACAAATTCTGTGCTGCTCTGGAAGATTCACAAGATAGTGTCCTTTACAAAATATGGATGATTTATATCCCTCAGTCAACATTCTAACAATAAATAAGATTTATGAAAGCAGCAGGACAAATTTAGGGGAAAAATCCTCCATTGGAAGATTTAGCTGAGATAATGCCTATAATATGGTTCATAGATACTACATTTTTCTCTGAATGAAAATAAACATAACGTATTTCATTATTCAAAATGACAAGCTATTTAAACTGAAGCAGCAATTTAAGAAGATGAGAATGAGACATAATTAAAATATAATAACTATAGCTATTGTCTTCTATAATAACTATAGCTATTGTCTGCT